GTTAGGACAGTTAGATCATGTCCTACGGGCCACTAGAGGATGGAAGGCCAACTGCTGGCCTTTAATTTATAATATAAAATATAAAAGCCCACTATATTAAATGCATCGACTTGTTCAGTAGCAGGACTAGCACATATTTCAAAACTCTTTAATTGACCTTTTCAATTTAAAAGCCTCTCTCTCTGGCATCAAACTGTCAGACGCCAAAAGAGTATGAAAACAATGGTTGACAGCCGTTGACAGTGGTTTGTAGACAAGACTTTTGAAATGAACTATTATTTCCTCGTGTTTTTCAAGGTTTTTTCTTAACAATGGTGATTGTGTGTAGTGTGCCTATCCATAAAACTAATTCCTATTTATTTCTATTCACCGGCGGACGTGTTTTTCCATAAGTTTCCATCAAATCCTACATTTGTCAAATTTTGGATACATAAAATCAGAAAGAATACTCGCAAAAGAAAGGGAAATCCACGGCCCATCAAGTATACAAAGTAATCCTCGTTCAAGTTTAGTTTGCAGAAACTGTTTGCTTCCAAAATAATCCACCACCGGCTCCATAGCGAAGTTCTACGAATGAAGCAGTAACTTTTCCTACATTTTCTTCCCAATTTCAAACTCTGCGTTTTTATTATCAAATTTTACCGATGGATCCATCATTCTATGTCGGTCATTGTCATTTTCCATTCACTTAACAAAGATAGCTAACTCATTGGTGAAGTCACCGATTCACATAAAAATGAGCGGATTGCTAAACACCCAATACACATTGACATTGACAAGCAAGCAAATTTTGGCGGGAAAATGAATGTTTTCATACTTATCATCCATCTCTTTTAATTGAAAACGTCAATTCTTATAATTCACACTGCACAAGCACATTTGGTTTGGCCAGAGTGCACTGCCTGAAGCCCTGACATCACGATGCTCTGGAATCACTCCGCTCGCTCCATCGAGCATCAATCCGGATCAAGTCCTTAAGTCACCAAGCTGCGCTGACTCGCCGTCGCGTGATAAGCACAGCACAGGCACATGGCAACTGACAACAGTGGCAACGACTACAGCAGGAACCTGTTAAGCCAGCCGCACATTGAGACGCAGGTGACATAAGCGACGCAGGACAGGGCAGTGCAGGTTTCTGTATTCAGTACAATTTGACTCGCAAATTGGGACGCAGTGTAGGACAGCACAGAACTATATCCGAATAAACCTGCGTGACGCAGTGTTCCGGACACAGTTTCCTGCGCCACGTGCCTACAAGTTTTGCATTTTGATAAGCGGTTTCCTCGAGTTTATTTATTTAAGTGTATGATAAATATTAATATGGAAAAACAATTGATTGAATTGGTGAGGTATCATACCACTGTTTATGACACCAACGAACGTGACTATATTTCTTCTTTTCATATAGTTGATTTTCCAAAATGATTTTTTCCTCTTTGGAATGTTGTATAATAGAACTGTTTCTTCAAATTCTGCGTCCGACACTGACTCGGAACTATCCAAAAAGAAAGCCATGGCCACGTTCAAAATAAAAAATAAAGATCTTTGTATATCTGTATTCGCACTCGCACGTCAAAACTATATAACAGGAACTGCCCAAAACTGCTCTCGAATATGCGCTCACAAGGCCTGACACGTACTTTTTTTGAACTGTGTCAACCTGCCCTGCCCTGCGTCGCCTGTGTCACCTGCGTCTCAATGTGCGGCTTGCTTGAGTGTTTGCGCTAAGCCGTCTGGATGATTTTATTTAACCCCATAAAAAAGAACAATCACTCATGAAAGGCCATACCAAATAATTGACCTACGGGCCAGAGAAAGGTTAAAGCGTCACTGCGCACATACATGAACGCGCAAACAAAAACATCAAAGTGTATGCAAAATATCGTCGCGTTTTTGAATGTGCAATTTTGTATGCACACTCGGAATACTGTAGCAAGAATAGCAAGACTGCAGTTTTGTGCGAGCGTCTGTACAAAAGCGCCATGCACGTTGTTGTCTGCACGTTGATGTATGCACGTTGATGTATGCACGTATATGTATTAAGACGTCCCCGTCCGTGTGTAACCGCCTTTAAAGGCAAGCCTTATTTTGACAGCTGGGCATGCGCAGTTTCCGTTTGGAATAAGGATAGCTCTAAGGATAAGGATCTGCCTTATTTGGGAGAAAATAAGACCTGCCTTATCTTTGCCTTATTTAAAAGTTCTTATTTGTCGATCGGAGATGATCGGTAGGAATCGCGAGCTGAGTTTTGTTATGTTTTGTGTTTATAACCATAGATTTTAGATCATAATAACAAATTTTCACTTTTCTTGAATTTTTTCTTTCCAAACTTTGAGAAATGAGGCAAAATGAAAACAGCATCGAGGCACAGAAAAGGGGCGGACTAAAGGTTTGTTTGTTTGTGTTGCACTACCTTGAACTAAGCTGTAATATCTCAGATCATGGCAGATAAACCATATAAAATGCTCACAAACGAACGCCCCATAGCAGGAAGTGCTGCCCCGAACAACCCAAACAAACAACATCAAGGTTTACATATACGATGAACTGGTTTTGCTTATGGCCATTTGCACCGCTATAGCTTAAGGGATATTTAATCCAAGTGGAGCTTTGAATGTGACTCTTGTAGAAACAGTAGTCACATTCAAAACTCCACTTAGATCAAATATCCCTTAAGTGATAGCCGTGCAAATGGCCATTAGAGAATTTTGTGCCATCTTTCTGCCACTGTTCTACGATTTTACACGTAATATAAATATTTTGCACAAATAATTCCTTATTTTCAAAATATCTAAACATATTCCACATCAGAAAGAAAACACTTCAGGTTCAAAACTTAAAAAATAAACATTAACAAAAATTCAGGTTAGAAATAAGGCATCAACTCCTAAAGTCGTTTCTGGAAATTTGCAATATCTAAACTTGTCATTCGAAGTAAGGAAATGACCTATCGCGTCTAAATAAGGTTTTAGCCTTATTAAGGCTGATTTGCAATATCTCTCTATTATTTATCCTGAAGATTCTGAGTTTGATAAATTTTTCCTTGGTTTTTTTTATGGAGGAATTATTAGCAGTTGCTGTTTTTGCAGACGTGAGTGGAGCGTAAACTAATTTTGACATAGCATAGCGTTTCGGTAAAGCATCCGCTAACTCCCGCTAAGAACTCCCGTTACGTAGCGGGCTCCGCTAACGCTAATATCGTAAGAACTGTCATACTTGTCAAATAACGTTACGGTATTTGAATTTGGACAGCAGGAGAAATCTCTATTATTGTTATTTTCCGAATCGTACCTATATTCATCTAACCAATTAAATTACCTTTTGTTTTGGGACAAGGGTGTTTTATTTATTGTCCGAACCTTCGTGGCAGCTACAAGCGGGTAGCTTGTGCGCGACACCCAAGAATCGTAAACTCTACAGGATTGCTCAATCCCATAAGACAAACGTTCATAAAAACATCGAAGATGGCGGTATGCGAATGACGTCACGCAGTCCTTGATCGGTTTGTGTTTTTTATGACAGTGCACTATCCTTGCATTTTCAAACGTGAAAAATTGTTATTTTGAGGTTATTTCCTTTGAAAACTGTAATTTGTAATTAATTTATTGATTTTAAAATTAGCAGACTTCAAAAGCTTGTGTCCTTGAGGCTTGAGTGGTTGGCTAATTGCTAATTAGAAAGACGAGTTTGTTTGCTTTTGTTTATCAATTAGCCAAACATATTGCCAAAAAGTCAAAAAAACGAAGGGCTGGAGTCAAGCTGGCCCCCGGATTCGTTTCAATGTTTTTTTTTGTGTATGAAAATGAACACAATTCGCATAAATACTGGCACAATTGAGCACAAAACGGGCACAATTGACTACAGTTGAGAAACAGTAGAAAACCAAATGTGGGGTGCCGAGCCGGTTTAATTTTTGCATTTCAATATCAAAATATAAGCGAAACGGGGTTGCAATAGTGTGCTTTATTTTTTACTGACCCTACCTAGGTACTTCTCAATTATTATTCATTAATTTAATAGGTACTAGAACGATTTAATATGGACATTCAAAGTGAGCTTATTTCACAAAGCCAAATAGTGATACCTAATTTAGATTCTCATAATCATATTCCAGAAAAACATTGCAAGTTTCCCATATTGTCCATGCGTTTTCATAGTAAACGCGCCAGTAAAGGAATTTATTTACATATTTATTTATTCACTCTTCAGAAACCCTAATTTTTATTAGTAATTACATGCAAAGGAAACTTACAACTAAGTAGATATTTGATTTATAAAAAAAAAGCAAAACAAATGCTTGACTAGGAAATACTAACTAGCAATACACACAAATAAAAGGACATCGCTCCTGATACAACAAATCCAGTATTATAAAACCAGAAAATGCTTGGGGTTTTCGCGAGTATTTTCAGCCACGAGTCTTTTATGCTTACACACATTAAATGAAACTTTAAATTTACACTTATAACACTAGATAAATCCGAATTTACGATAAAATAGTTGTCAGCACAAACTAAACATCATTCGTATCAGCGGCCATCTTGAAAATCCGGCATGCGCGTGACGTCACAGCAATTGTGAACAAATTTAGCCGATTGAGCAATCCTGTAGAGTTTACGATTCTTGCGCGACACCTAAATATTCCTTTCGAAAAGTGTTTGTTGCACCACGCATTTGTTTTTTTTCAAATCGGGGGCGACTAACACCGGAGCGAGTAACTCGAGTGTTCTAAACTCTTGAAAGGAATACAACTAATTCAAGAGTTTAAAACACTCGAGCTACTCGCCCCAGGAGCTGTTCCGGAGCACGTCCTAGGTGTGAAAGGAATATAATAAGAGTTGAGCCCAACTCAAACCATTATGCGTAAAAGCCAGCGCATCTGTTCCTTTCAAATCCGGGTCGACTAACACCGGAGCGAGTAGCTCTAGTGTTTTAAGCTCTTGAAAGGAATACAACTATTATCGAACGTACCCCAGTTCGACTTCCGTCAGTTGCGAGTGCGCAATTTGACGGACGTCATACGTCATGTCAAGGCGTGGTTAAAAAAGGAGTCGCGGGGCAAGGAAAAAATTGGCATGGCTGCCAGTAGTGGCAGTTGCAGTGGAGTGGAGTAGTGAAATAAAAATATACAAAAATTACGATAAAAATACGTGCAGGTGTCCAGTCGCGATCGCCCAATTTTTCGAACAGTTTTCCGGGTGTGCAAATAACAGTGTCCGAAGCGTGAGTGAACGAAAAAAACGAGAGAAATTCAGTCGATGAGCAGGTTGTTGGCCATAAACTTGTAGCTCTGACATTTCCCTATCCTTTCACCACAGCACCCAAGTCATGGGACGACATCCAGTTTGTTTTAAATTGAAATCACGAAATATAGGTTTTTACAGTCTCGAATTTTGAATGTTTTCTCGAAACCTGCTTCAGATTTGCTTTAAATAGAATGCTAATTAATTCTGTTTGTTTACTTTTGCTCTTTACGAATTCGCAGTGGAGTGGCAGTGACAGCTATGGTCTATGGTTCTTGCTTTGCTTTGATCCTGGGGGAAATTATTGCGATTCTACCCAAAAATAACCCTTTTATTAGACCCCAAAATAGAATAACATTTCTATCCTATCCAAGTTATAGTGTCCCAAGCAAATGAGAAAAGCTGTAGGTTATTTTTTTCTAAAGAAAATAAGCTGTGAAAATACTATGTAGGTCTTTGAACTCTACGAGTAAAAAATAGCCCTTAATTGGAACCTTATTTAATACTATTATAAAATGTATGTTGGTGATTAATTGCATAGAATTAGAATTTGTTGGCATTGATTAGTACTTGCCAATTACTCGACTGATTTTCATGACCAAATGACTTCTTTGTGGTGTTTATCAGAATAATAGAATCAGCATGCACAAAAAAATGTAGAGAAATTGCATTAGTAGGTATATCAGCTCGTATTTCATTAAAATGCTTGGTCAGAGAGACATGGCTCATTGGTCAAATTTGATTTAAAAATAGTGGAGTGGCATTAAAAAAATATACCTATACCTACTCATACTGAAATGTTGTTGGTATAAAGTCGCATAAGTTTCCCCCTCATGGAATTAAACTTGTTGGTTTTCTAAAGTCAACATACCTATTGAGTTTTTTACTAGTCAATTCTACTCAAACAAAGGTTAAATAGGCAGGTATTTATTATGGGAGTGACTACTGCACTGTCCAGACAGTGATGACTGAAAACTATCTGCACTGACAAGACTTTTCCGACTAAAATTTATCAGCACTGTCTAGACAGTGCCGAGTAAAATCTATCTGCACTGTCCAGAGAGTGCTGACTAAAACTATCTGCATTGTCCAGATAATTTCATCATCATATCATATAGATCTAAGAGTTATATTCAAAATGGCTTGCCTTCCTTGCTGGGATTCAGTGTCTTAATATGGGCGCAAAATGTTTTTTTAATGGTACCTGAGAGTGTCAATTTTCACAGGTCAGGTCGAGGCCAAATAGTTATTTTCCTAACAAGTGCGCAAAGTGTTACTTCGAGCACGGAAATGGGTGCGGAAAAGTACTAGTTTGCGCACGCTCATAGGAAAAATGTTGTTATTATTTTGTATGCGACATTTGTGTTTATTGGCACCTTTTGAATGAATTTTTGGCCTCGACCTGAACTGTGAAAATTGACACTCTTAGGTACCATTGAAAAAACACTAATTTTCCGAACTTAATACAAAAATAACAAATAACTATTAATACACTTGATCCCGAGGAATGCAAGCCATTTTGAATATAACTATAACTTTAAATGTTATGATAATTAAATTATCTGGACAGTGCAGATGGTTTTTATTCGGCACTGTCTAGACAGTGTTAATATATTTTAGTCGGTACTGTCTGGTCAGTGCAGATAGTTTTCAGTCGGCACTGTCGAACAGTGCAGTAGTCACTCCCATTTATTATAGATGTTAGTTTTTTGAAAAAGGTGATCAAAAATAGCCGAATTGTATTGCTTAGGTATAGTCTTTTTGTAAAATGGATATCTTTCAAGACAATTTTTCCCAAGATCATTCCCCCGACTTCTGCTTAAATGTTAAATTTGCTAAACATGTACAGCGTGTCCCATTTTGATTGTACATAAGGGATAATAGATTACTCTTTTGCTATTAGCCTATCCAAAACATGTGACTTTCACAAGCAAAATATGGTTGGCAGAAGGCGTTTTTAATAACTATTTGCTACCTAACTAAGCGGCAGATGAAGTGGGACAGCCGAAAAATTGCTTAATTTTGACTTGCTATAACTTCGACATTTCTTTGCCGATCTTGGATTATCAGGCAGGGTTACAAAGCGCCATCTTTGGTCTATGCGTCAGTGTCGTCATACATTTAAAAAAAAGCCTTCTCGTTATACAGGGTGTTAATGTAAGGCGGCGAAAAAATTCCATTTTTTGGCGAAGAATATGGGAAAGATGGGAAGTCCAATAAAGTTCTTTCTAGTGGTGACTCGATCACTAGGTCAACACCTCGAGACGTCTTTGCCATTTTTTCGATACATTGTGTTGCTATGGAAATATGGCCATTTTATGGTATTTCGTTTTTCTCTTGGAATTGGCGATTCTTTGATTGAACAATAACAGATTCCGTTTAAATTGCATCATGGAATGATTTGTATAGAAAATAGTCAACACCAGTGGCGTGCAAAAGGGGGTTTATGAAATTAAAATAAACAAAATCGATTTTATCTGAAATTTTTAAGTTTTGTTAAGCTTTAAAAATTAACACCCAAATGCACCATAAGGACTCAATTCAGATTCGTTGCTGAAACCAGATTAGGACTTCTCCTTTATATGCAAATTTTCGAACTAAGCGAGAATAAACTCCCAAGTCCATACGGTGCATATGGGTGTAAAAGGTGTCCTAAATACCTCTGATATGATGTCATTTTGGTTCTCCTGTAGCCTGAATAACTGCGTGACACCGCCTTGGCACGCTCGAAATTATTCGGTTAATTGGCTCTATAGTAACTGACTCCCAGAGCTCCAGAATCATCTCCTCGTGATCGTCTAGAGCTTCTGGCTGACGTTCTCCCCGGGAAAGCTCTAACTTCATTCAGCTCGAGACGTGCTCAATTGGATTCATGTCTGAGGATCTAGGAGGCAATTCGGTACGATTGAACTTTTGCCCTTGCAGATACCGGTTCACTAATAATGCTCGATGAGGCTGAGCATTATCGTCTACAAAAACAAAATCCCCGCCATAATTTCGAGCATGCCGGAGAACTTGTGGAATCTGACATTTATCCAGGGACACTTGGCCGTCAACATCACGATACGACGAGTTCTGTTCTTCCGATGTGTTAGATACCGACCCAAACTGTCAATCCTCCACCGCCAAATGCAACTTGGGGACGCATGTTTCCTTCTTAAAAACGTTCTCCCCATCTCCGCCAGGTTAGCAATCGATCGTCAGAATTTTAGAAGTTCTCCAGTCTCTCCACCTAAAATCCCAATTCAGGTGTTCCTGGGCCCATTTTTCTCAGTTTCCCCGGTGACTGTTTGTAAAAAGTGGGCACTTTGCCCGACGGGAGAATTTAATCCCTAGTCATGTAGGCGTCTTCTAATGGTGTCTGCTGAAATATTCAACTGCAGATGTGTTAGGATTCTCTTGACAGTCCAAACTCTATTTTCAATTACAGTACATACTACTAGTCGATCCTGACGAGGATTTGTTCTTTTTTGAGATCCTCCACTGTGTCGGTGAGCAGCAGTACCATTGACAGGTCTGTTCACACGTTAACATTAAATAACATGAAAAATACTGTTTTTTTTTTCACTAAACGCTTCTGAATATCAAAATCAAACTCATCACAGTTATTTATAACACCTTTTTAACTGTAACGCTCAACAAAACCGTTAAAATTTTCAAATAAATCGATTTTTTTTATTTTAATTTCTTAAATTCCCTTTTGCACGCCACTGGTGTTGACCATTTTCTCTACAAGTCATTCCATGATGCAATTTAAACGGAATCTGTTATTTTTTAATTAAAGAATCGCTATTTTCAAGAGTAAAACGAAATACCATAAAATGGCCATATTTCCATAGCAACGCAATGTATCGAAAAAATGGCAAAGACGTCTCGAGGTCTTGACCTAGTGATTGAGTCACCACTAGAGAGAACTTTATTGGACCCTCCATCTTTCCCATATTCTTCGCCAGAAAATGGAAATTTTTCGCCGTCTTACATTCACACCCTATATAACGAGAAGGATTTTTTAAAAAAAATGTACGACGACACTGACGCATAGACCAAAGATGGCGCTTTATAACCCTGCCTGATAATCCAAGATCGGCAAAGAAATGTCGAAGTTATAGCAAGTCAAAATTAGGCAATTTTTCGGGTGTCCCACTTCATCTGCCGCTAAGTTTATTTACATATACTTTTTTTTTTTTTTTTTTTAATGTAATATATTCATTTTTAGAATTGTATTTCCAAATTTGTCGTTGTAAATCTTCTTTAAATATTCCGTCCATAATAGTCTCTGTCTTTTTCGGTCGGCCTAAAGGTTTTTTGATTGTATATTTTCCAGTCAAAATTCTTTGAATAGTCCTGGTTCCCACCTCAAATATATCTGCCAGTTGGACTTCAATTGTTCCCTGGAGAGCCTCTGGTTTATTTTATTTTTGAATAACCACGACATTTTAGTATTTCTCTTTTTTTTTCTTCTAAGATTATTTTTGGCATCTTCAATACGAAAGAAATTTGACAATGCCAAATTTTAAAAAATGTCATTAGATTTTGCAGGTACGCAAAATGGTTAGGTACCGTTTATACATACAAGTTTTGATTCACAATAAGTTGTAAGAATTTGCTCTTAATTAAATTCACATTAAACAAGCTTCATTTTGTAGCACCTAGATGTTATAAACATCTGTATGTGCTCTAGATGTATAGAAATTTTAATACCTATTTAGAAGTACCAGTCGTTCTAGTGACTAAACGTATGTCGCTTCTTGAACAGACAAATAGAATTAGGTTAGGAATTTCCTATTTGTACATGACATTGACGTATTAGCAATCGACATTCGTTTTTGTTGGTAATTTTTTGTTTCATCTGATTCGTGATTGATGAAGGTTGAAATTATTCTAAATGGGTATTAAAAATACTATAGGTACCCAATATTTTTAATTTAATGTTAGGGATATATTATACAATTACTTAAAGAGAATCAAAAAATCGAAAAA